AATCCTACCACTAGTTTAAACCCACCTAAACCTGCTGGTCTATTATTGCAGAGAGCAGTGTATATGGAATATTAATTATAGAGATTAACCCTAGTCATTTCAATCATCTGTTATCTCTGATCCTTGGGATGTGTCACTAGCATAGCGCAACACTACTGTTTTCATCACCTGTAAAACTGGTGTCCTTGCTTGGATTCCGATTTAATCTTGTAGATCCTCACTAGACTTACTTGGCTTAACAATTTTTGTCTAGTCTTCTCATTACCTATGGCTAATACCTTGCCCTTCGGCCATATGATTAAGTTCCGTGGAACACCACTATTGGGATAGATCTACAAGCTTCAGATTGGAATAAATCAGCTTAGAATTAACCTCTTTATGTTGTGTGACGGAGTCTGCTGTTGCCAGTTTAGGTTAGAGTTTTGTGGGCTTATTATCAGAGTTAGACCAGAAGCCTTTTCTTGTGCAACCTTTCTTGCTTCGACCTGTTTTCAGCCCACGATTGTCAGAAAGACCAGAGATTCTATCTTTATGCAGCCTAACTAAATTTGGAAGTAAATTTGTCAGCTGATTGGATACGATATGAATTGAAAGCTGGTCAACCAATCATGAAGGTGATAAATTTTTTGTAACTAGGCGGGGTTGAATCCTAGACCTTCTCCTGATAATCTATAGAGCACTACCACTGTGCTATGGACCCATAGGTCTAAATGATTTTTATATTTTTTATTTTTTATTATAATTTTAGACTTGCAAAACAAAATTACAAATTTGATAGCATAATATATATTTTTTTTTCTAAAAAGAGTTTAATATATAACTTAAAACAATTTGGCTTATTATTTATACTTTTTTATACTACTTAAAAATATAGAAAAAGTAAATTTAAAACTTATATTATAGTTTTAAATAATATTTGACAAGCCAAAATTAATTAGCTTTTCAGCTATTATTAGAACTTAAATATAAAAAAAAATATAATCCAATTACTTAATGTAATACTTTTTAATTATTACTAGAGCTTAAATTAGAAAGAAGACATATTTAAGAATCTAGCATTAACCTTCTATATTACTATTAAAACTTAAGTTAAAAAGAAAAACAATTATATTATATAAAGTATTTTATATTTAAAGTCATATTATACAAGTATTTGAATAAGATTTTATTCAAATATAAGATTAAATGGATATAAAATATTTTAAAATCAAGAATATTCTATTATATAAAAGCATTGCAATCACTTTATATAAATTGGCTTTCAAGTTATAAAAGAAATTTGATATATTTATATTTCAAGTATAATAAAAGTATTTTATAGATAAAGTTGAAGTTTGAAATAAATTTTCTTATAGGTTTTGAAACTTAACCTTATATAATAAATCTATATTATTAAAAAATATGCAAAATTTTTTGTTATCAATATTGGCTCTGCTTATAAAAATAACTAAAATTTTTGATTATATATATTATTTTACTAAATTCTACTAATTATTAGCATAACATTTATAATAACTTAATATTAATGTTACTATTATAAAAAGAGCAAAAAAAATCAGATAAATTCAATATATGTTATCCTCATTCAATTAGAATTTAATTAGGGCTTGAAGGATTTTTGGAATTTTGGTGATTTTTTAATATGTACTATTATATATAAAGAGAGAAATGTACAAGAGACAAAGTAAGAATAAAAATCGTCTTTTTATTATAAAACTTAAATTATTATCTAATATTTTCACTTACTTCGTACCACATCTTCATATCTCTTCTGATATAATATGATTGGCAATCATAATGTAACGATAGACTTGCTATTATAATTCCCAATACTATATTGATATTAATTATTATTTTTTTTGAATATTGTGAGCACAACTTCTTGGAGATTTAGGTAATAATAATTATACAATAGTTTTTTAAATATAATTAATCTTTGCTATTAATAAGTAAACAATATCTAAAAAAACTTTTTCTGTTTTTTTAATTTGTTGAAAACTTTTTTTTAAAGAAATTTAATAAGAAAAGAAAAGAAAAACTCGTTAGATTATTTTTTTTTAAAGAAACTTTTTCTTTTCCTTTACTACTATTGAGAATAAAAATTCTTTTCTAAAGAACACTATTGATTATCTTCTTCTTGCTACAATCTAAGAGATTTAGATCAAGTAATCTTATGTATTATATATAAAAGATTAAATTTTAGATTTATTAAATAAAAAATTGATCTTTTTTTTTAAAAATAAAAAATTATCTCTATCAAAACCAATATAATAAATTTATTATATTTCAAGTTTTACTACATATAAGCCAACTTTAAGAGTTTGGTTAAAAAGACTCAAGTTATATAAGTATAAGACTTTTGGTTAGATTTATCAAGACTTGAATACCTTGATAATAAAGATTATATAAAGAAAAAAAGTAAACAACTTAAAAAAATTTTTTAAAAAAGAAATTTTCAAATAATAAAAGAGAAGTAAGAATAAGTTTTTTTTAATATTAAAATAATACATTAATTAATTATAATTTAAAAAATATAATCAATTATTTATTTAAAGTTTTTTTAATAATTAAATAGTAATTTTATAAAAAAAAATATAATTGAATAAAATAACATGCGTATGATAAAAGATTTTAGTCACTGTATATAAAACATTTTTAATACAAAACATTTTGATTGTGTGAACTAAAACAAATTAAGGATTAATTAGACATACGAAAAGTCGGGTTCGTAAATTTTTGAATATAAGGTTCTTTCTTATAAAACTCGTTTAAAAAAAGTTGTAAACTTTCTATGAAAACGACAAGTTTATTTCAATTAAGGTTATAAATTTCGAACAAGGCAGAGATCAACAATAATGGCAAAGTTTTTTTTATTAAAGATCGGTTATCAAAATAACATACGTGTTTATTCCGAATGGCTAAATTCAAAAATTAAAGTTCTGAGCACGAAATTGTGCAGTACCGTTTCGTTACGCAAATTATAGGAAGAAGTAACACGTCATGTTTCCGTCAAGCAAAGCCCTGAGGAAAAACGCAGTGGAATTGGTTTAATGAAGGAACATTTTAAATAAAGTTAGGGTATGCTCGCTGAGCTCAAGTCTTCTTTACAGGATTTGATGTTCATTATTGCTTGGTTCCGCATGGTGTAACTTGATTCCCAGAAGTCTAGAATATTACGATGGTGATGATGAAAGGGTAGTCACGGAAAGCGCGCTAGGGAGAGATCCAATAGCGAGCGAAAAAGACAAATCCGTGATATCACTTTAGTTTCGACAATAATGCGTCAGCCACATTGATTATAAAGTTTAGACGTGGGAACAAAATTCGACACGCTGTTTGCTAATGTCTTTCGAAAGTTCACGTTAGTAGATGCGTTTAAACCGTTAATCCTCAAAGAACAAATGTTTTTTGGCTTAGTCAAATTCAGGATTTAGAGTTATTGCGAGGCTGGATTAAGATTTCCCGCGTACGAATTAAAACAAAAGACACGAAATAGAAAAGCCACCGGCTTAGTTTGTCGAACTCAGGTTAATGATCGGCATTATTTTTTTCCCTGCACAATTTAATTACCGATGAATGCAGAGTGCGCCCGTGCATTTTAAATTTATGTTTGGTACACGACCCAAAGGTCTAGGCTCGAGTCCATGAACAACCGATCCATTGTTCATTACATTCTCCTGAATCCTTATATTTTTTCATGCACAATGTAAAATGAGCCATCAGGTTGTAGCAACTCGTAAAACTAATTAATGTCAATAAAAATAATAGAATTCTTTCTAATCAACATCAAATTGTTGGGTTTATAATGATAAATGCATGTATGGAAACAGTCGTGTACATTAGCAAATAAATAAATTTAGCATTTGGCAAAAATGATATTGCAGCCGGAAGGGTCTAGATCGAGTCCAGATTCTTCAGGCGCAACGTGCTTGTTCCAAAAATGACAAAAAACAAGCCTTTACATCAATGCTCTTAGTACGGAGGATTTATTGCATAAATGCACCGTGTTCACGGAATGGAGGCAATGGATCTCGAACTGTGACATAAAATATCCCTTAAAAAGATGATTTTTTCACATAATTCCTTTGGTTTTATCATTCATTCTTTAATTTTTTGATTCGAAAAAAAAACAAAAACTCCCCTCACAGACGCACAGTTAGAAATCATTAAACCAATTCTTACCTTGGAGAAACATGGATCCACGTAGGCATTTGGTCATTCTGTTCAATGCGCAAGGAAAATGATTGTATACGCAATGAACAGTGGTTTACTCATTCATTTTTTTTCTCGATCTCTTGACAATAGTAGAAATTCCACCATCGACACCTTGCACCAAACCAGACCCGGAATCTGACATCAATCGTGCTCGCATCGTCGCGGCCTCCGTAAGGAAAGCTTGTAATGTTGCTACTAATAGCATGGACCAAGACAAGCAAGATTGGAAAGCTGCGCGTCAGATAATTTTACAAGACAAAGTTCTGACTGAAAATGAAAAGGATGTTATCCTGAGCCTTTTCCAGTTCAATTCTGTAAACACATGATTCAAGGCTGGTCATTATCGCCGTAGTCAATTCATCATCTTTCCGACGACACCATAAAATCCGAAAAAAACTCCGAACCATCAAATTTTAACGGAATTAATAATTCCGAAGGGCCCGCAGACTGTCGCTAAATATCGTTGCTAATAACGCTTTTTAGTCGTTATTTCTCAATAACAAAATCCTCTCTCGCATAACCAAAAAGATTGAAGGCAGAACGTACTTCCAATCTCGTTTCCACCCTTTCCCAATATAATACAGTATAATTAATTTTATGACAAAAAAAAACGATTACATAGGTTCGATAAGGACCAAATACCATCAGTTAGTTAATACCATTTAATTATGCAATTCCTTCTTACCACATTCTCATTATAGTTACTCGAGTGACTAAGATTTTAAGATTTCCTTAAGGATAAATAATTCGAATAATTTTTATATTATGCATTTCATTCTGTAAATACCTACAATAACAACATTTTGCATTATTTTAATACTTAATAATCAATCAAAATGTCGCCTCCCATCCTTTTTCCTTATTTCTACAGCCAAACCTTTTCATATCATATACTGTATGCGACCAAGTGCAATAATAGTGTTGATGCGATCAACCTTTATTTCACGTGACCGTCTTTATTAGAGTACGCATTATGTACCAAATAATAAAATAATAATAAAATAATAATAATAATTATTACCTAACAAGAAAGTAATTAAATTAATGCTGAAATATATCTGGAATATTAAGCAAAGAAAAAAATATCTTAAGTCCAAAGTATCCCGCCAACGGTACCATTATTCTGTGCTGGCGTTAATCGCAAAATTTTCGCTATAATGTTATACACCTCAACATTATAAAATCCATTAATTACATTTGTTTTTGATTTTCTCGCGACCGCCCTGAATTCAGGTCCGGAAGCCAAGAAAATTCCCCGCATGGTGGATTCAAGGTTATCATAACCATGAGTTCCCATTAAACCTTTTGATGTAGAATTCCGATGATACGAGAAAGCCCAAGGTATTAACGGAATGCATAATATAGGCGAGATTCGATGTGATTTGCGAAAATGATACCTCTCGGGTATTTCATCTGATAAAACAAAAATGAAATTTGAACTTGAGCCAATGACCAATAAATGCATAATAATTTCACCGCTTATACCTCGAAGGAAGCATTCCCAGGGTTTATTCAAGCTTTCGTTCTTTAGCTTTAAGTATATTTCCGAAGTTTCCGAGTCGTCATAAGGTCTAATATTAGCCAAAGGATATCCATCCAAGGGGTATATCTTTGATGTATTAAATATTTCCTCGAGATAGATAACCTTGGAGTCATTTATCGCAATCATCCCGTGATCACTAACCTATTTATTATTGAACATGATGAATTAATGAGATTACCAAACAAAAATCATAACCGTAATCGAGTGGTACTGACGATTATAAAATTAACAATGCCCGTAAGGTTCCTCCGGTTCAATCCATCCAGCAAACTACGAGTCATGTTATCGGTCGATTTCAGGATATCATTCAATTCCACGGAGTCCGGTCCTTTGCTATGACCTATGGAATCAACATCACTTACATATGCAGAAATGAATGTCGGTCTCTCATCAAACGGAAGATCTAACCAATTCATCACACGTGATACTTGATCATCCATGGTTACATTTGGATCATAAGGATGATGATAAGTTGGCATGAATCCTTTTATTACCGAAGATGAACCGACCCATTGTGATACTCCAGATTTTTGACCTTGTTTAACAGCTGTAACCCAAATCTTTATAGAAAGAGTGAGCCGACTTTCCAATGACAAATCTATTTTAAGTTTAGAGGTATGAAATGATACCTACAGGTTCTCCTCCCCACCATTTTGAATCGAAACTCCTTTTGGGATCCTTATAGTAGAAATAATCTTTCAGATCTGGATCATAAAATGAATTTCCAACGATTCCGTGCGACTCGGGATAAAGTCCAGTGACTATAGTGTAATGATTTGGAAAGGTGATAGACTATAATATGGATTTCAAGATTAATAATAATGATAATGATAAACTTTATCTTACACCATCAATGAAAGAAATTCTCACCGGAAATGAGGGAATCAAATATTTAGCTTGCAGACCATCTTGATCTATTTGAAAGATATATGTCAGTCAAATACTATTCTCACGAAGATGATAAACATTCCTGATCGCAGAAAAAAAAACCAACAAAATTTCGTAAGATAAGGTGTAACATTTCTTGTTAAGTAATCATATCTAAAACCATCCAATGATAACAAGATCACAGTTGGATGAAAATCGTGAGTTCCGTTGCTTAATAATGGCAAAGTCACTCCATCATTATTTTTAGGAAAGAAAACAAGTATATATATCGAGCTCACAAGTACCGTGAGCAAGATCAAAAGCATTAAAATTCTCAGAATCAAAGGATTTCGAGCCTTTGATGATGAAGAGAAAACTTTAATAAAAGTTCTTACACGTTGTTATGAAGTGAATCACTTGTCAAAAGATTATTCGTTTTACATACATTACCTTATCTGGATTTTCTTGTAATAACTCATCAGCCGGATGTCCGCTTAATAACCCTTCCCTTTCTTGCCCAGACTCCGGATGTCCGCTTAGTAACTCTTCCCTTTCTTGCCCAGACTCCGGATGTTCTGCAACATCCCGTAATTCTTCATTAGATCCTCGGTTGGTTTCATCTACTGGTTCTGTGGATTCCACCGAACTTTTATCGACATCATCTTCATTTTCAGAAATTGTTACGCTAACGTGTGGCAAAGATGTCATTTATAAAAAGATTTTTTGACAGGAAAATGTAACAAAAAAAAAATAATAATAAGAAAAAGAAATCAACAAACACAGCCACATTAGGCTATCAGAACAGTTACACTAAATAAGTACCTTGATATTCATCCCCGCATGCGGTCCTGTTGATTTTTTACCTGTGCTTGAGTTGCGTAGTATTATTGAAAGGACATGAAACGAGTGCAACAGGATGAATTGCACTTTGGATTGTCAAGAAACGAAAAAGTGTTACTTATATTACAGTATTCCGGTCAAGGAATCGCGATTATCAAGTAATCACTTTTTTGATCGTCACTTATGATGATCCTCGTGTCATTTTACTCTGTTTTAACAGCAGATTCTTTTTTTGGATGCGTTGTAAATCATTTCAAAATAATAATAATATTTTTTCTGGTATGAAAAAGATAGAAACTGTATTATTCAAAGATGAAAATACTTCGAGCATGTCACGTCTATTGGCTTTGAAGTCTACTTGTAAATCCCTCGATTATTTATCCTAAAAGGTTTTAGAAGACATTTTCTTTGAATATCTTTTGAATAAATCGTTCAAGAAAAAACCCGTAATACCGTATGTACAATATACAGACAGGTAAATGCCATTTACTTTTTACACATGATTTATGCCAGTTATTTTAATACCAGTAGTTAGAATTTGCCGGGGTTGCCGATTGTAATTTAGTTTTTGAAAAAAAAAAAACACTGCGCACGTATAGTAGCAAACTTGATTTATTTAGAATGCTTGGTGCATTATTAATTAAATTATATTGTTTAATTATAGTATGTGAATCCAACATTGTTATAATGAAATTACATATTAAAAAAGATATACAAATCTATTTTTAAATAATTTTTTGCTTTGATAACATTTTGATATAAATATACAAATATATAAATACGTAATTTATTGCAATTTATTAATATATCATTTTAATTATTTTGAATTTTGATATGTAAAAAAAAAATACATTCATGATATTAATACATATTATGTAGTATATCTACAGTATATTTAAATTCAGTTTATTGTGAAAAACAAAAAAAAATTATATACACAAATATAAATTTTTTGTTTACAAGTTACTCTATAAAACTTTGGATTGTTTTATTCAATGTTTAACCTATTCTTGAAAAAATTATGATTTTCGGTTTTTTTAAGATCAATTAAATTAAAAATTTACCTTTTTTACATTTTATAAGTTTGTTACCAAAATTCTTTTTCTTTC